TTTTGTTTCTAATTATTTGTTGCAAAAATATATCGTAACATTTGCCTTGATAAAGTTCACTAGAATTTTCCTTTTGTTTTTATTCATATGTAAATATATATATATATATTTGTTAAATATATATAAAATTATATATATATATGTAAATATATATATATGTAAAATATATATATGTAAATATATGCATATATGTAAATATATATATATATGTAAATATATATATATATATATGTAAATATATATATGTAAAATATATCTATGTAGATATATATATGTATGTAAATAAATATATATATATATATATGTAAATATATATATATTTAAATATATATATGTAAATATATATGTATATATAAATATATATATATATATGTAAATATATATATATATGTTAAATATATATATATATGTGTTAATATATATATATATGTAAAATATATATATATATATGTGTATATATATATAAATATATATATGTTGATATATATGTATATATATGTATATATATATAAATATATATATATATATATATATATATATATATATATATATATATATATATATATATATATATATATTGTGCATGTATATTCGATGAAATTATATACACATGTTGAAAATTTACCAAGGTAGATCATGACCAATATTTCAATCTCCAGGCGCCTAGGGTTTGACAGAAAAATCGATAAAACTGAAGGTGGGTACGACTTTTTTTTTCAAAAACCAAGCCAAAATTACACGTGAACAAAATGTTTACTGGATCAGCTGATGTTCTTTGCAAAACATCAGCTCATGTTATGATGTTTATGTACAGTGTTTGATAGTTTGCCTGTGACGTTGGCTTCACACAAAAATCGGGTTTTTTTTATACTACTTAAAATAAAAACTTGAATAACTTATTTTTTTATCGAATTTTCTTCATACGTCGCTCAAAATGTGGCATCATGCAAGAAATAAGATATTGTAGGTTTAGTCTGACTCACTTCTGACTTTAATGAAAAACCACGAAAACCTCTTCAAAAAGTCCGTTTTTCGGCCATAACTCCCTGGTTTTTCATCCAATGCTTTCCAACGTAGCCATGTAAATTCCGTATGACACATAAATTGCCTTGCGTGAATGTTTGGTTTAGATTATTTCAGTTAAGTGGATGAAATCTGCAACAAACTAGGTTCAAAATCGGCTCTTGTCATTTATTCCATAGTTTCTTCATATGATTCCATCCTAAATTGGCATTCGAACAACACTTGATATAAAGATTGAGAAGGATTACTGAAGCGTTAAAAGGGGAAAATCCCCGAAGGACCTCTTATTGACTCCAGCTTTATAGTAAACGTGCCAAAAAGGAGGTGGGGGCGTTCATGCGTTTGCACTTGCAATTGAATCAAGCTCTGACATTTCATCTGTTTGTGTTTGATTATTAGATTTGTGGACAATGCCATACTATTTGAAAGTTATTACGACCATAGGAAATTTACTGAATATCTAAAACACTGAAACAATTTAACCCCGAGCAACGACCACACAAGAATATTTTATTGATGTAATTCCTTTATTAAGACCAATCAAACACATGCGAAGGACATACCGTAGAAAATGAGGATGGAGAAGTAACTTAATATAGCAACGGATGAAGCATGAAAGCGGGGGCGCAGACAGGCATTTCTAGACGGGGGTGCGGGTATACAGGGGTTGTGGTAAATTGCAGCCATACACACCCGGGCAACGCTGGGTACCTCGGATATATATATATCCTTAAATTCACGTATAAACTCAATACTACTAATAAAATTCCCTTTCTATGACATATTGATAAACACAAATAATAACGAATTTACTATTTCGCCATACAAAAAACCTACAAGCATAAATTCATGTACACTTAACTACAAGAGTGAATGTCCATATTACTACAAAATAGCAATTATAAAGAATCTAATACATCGTGCAGAAACTAATTCATTCACCAAACAGATTTTTTACAGTGAAATAAAGAATATAAAACAGACACTTATTAATAATAGCTTTCCAAACTATATAGTTGATGAACGAATAAGATGCTTTCTTAGAAATCTCAATACTAAGCAAATTGTACATAATACTGCTTCTACTAATCTCAAGCATATTAATCTCCTTTATCGTAATCAAATGCATACTAATTATAAATAAGATGAAAATATACTAAAAAAATTAGTAAATACTAATATATCAACAACAGATCCTAGCAAAAAAATTAAGTTAATCATATACTACACTAAATCTAGTATATCCAACTTAATTCTTCGCAATGATTCTTCTCCCTCGGTTAGCGATTTGCAAAAAAACAACATAGTTTACAAATTCAAGTGCCCTTTGGAAGATTGTATCTCCAACGAATTAAATAATATTTATGTTGGTCGCACCACAAACTCGCTTTCACGATGCTTGACTCTACATTTGAATGATAATTCTAATATTTTTAGGCATTTAAAACAACGTGCCTGGCCGCGTACACAATTCCGGAAAATCCTTGTTGAAAACACAACTATACTTAAGCATGAAAACAAAAATTCTTGACGCTATATACATAAAACAGTTGAAAGCTGACCTGAACAAAATAAACTATGAAATCTTCACAAATATTCTTAAATGCCTATAATTGGTAACAGAAGCCATTGGTTTATACCAACGGCTTCCCATACTTAATACTTCTCGAATTCACTCTCGCGTAGTCATGTGTGACGTCATGAGCTGCGGTGCGATTTTCGCTTCCAGCGTCTTATATGCACGAATTTGTCGTTGCTTCGAAACAGAAACAGACTATCATCACTGACTTGTCCGTGTATTGTTTAATATATTGTAATGTAATTGTCATCTTTGATAATGGCTTATGCAAGCCAAAAGCTTAGATAGGATTAAAAAAAATGTATCAATATTGTGATTTTCTTTTTTCGTTTAATGATAATGTTATTAAGCTTATCAGACAATATGAAAAGAATTTACATAAAATAAGTAGACAACACTTGTCTATATTATTCAATGAAACATGTATCAATATATATATATATATATATATATATATATATATATATATATATATATAGGGTGTATCAAAATTACTTTTAAAAACAGTGGGGGCGGGTTTCTTACACCAAAACAAGTACAGAAATCCATATGAACATATGTCCGTAAATCCTTAGTTTCTTAGTTATTAAGTTTAATTAATTTATGGTAGATGGTGCTGTGTTGCTATGTAGACTAGGTTACATTTGTCTATCGTGTACATTTTGGTAAGTCTGTTTAACGCGTGTAGTAGTGAGTTAACTGAGATGTGTTCTATTTAACAATGGCAGGATATTCATATCTAGGCAAGCAGATATGATATTTACATATGGTAATGGACGCGAGGCTGTACGGCTGTATCAGATTGCGTTTCAATCGTATTGTTCGTGAGGCACTGGTTGACATCTACCATGAAAAATGGATAGGTAGGAAATGCTTGCATGTTCCCCGAACTCAATCATTTTGATTTTTATCTGTTAGGCCACTTAAAACAATTGGCAAATGCAGTAGACATTGATAACGCAGAGAAGCATCCTGAAGGCCTGCGAAACCATTCGGCGCAGTCTGGGTGTATTTCAAAGTGTCCTTGATTTGCTGTAAGGATCCTGCCCCCAAACTTTGTAAAAGTATTTTTCATACATCGCATATATTTATACTAGCAGCATGGCCCGGCGTTGCCCGTGCTTGATTCAAATATCGTACGACTCATACAGCAATCGCTATCACTTGACTTAAAATATTTTTGCCCTTCCTTGCCTTTAAAGGAGTGCCCTTTGCTGTGCTGATGTTGCTACATGCCTTACTTCTTGCCTATCTCACACTGCGAATTTTTTCTAAGCTCTGTACTAAACATTAAATCTGTTACGAAAAAAAAAAAACTAAACAAAATGAACACAAAACGATCAGCTTTAAAAAAGGACTCGTAACTGGAAAAACCGAATGAAAAAAGAATGTTAACAACAAATACTTTTTCACACCCAACCCAGTTCTGCGGAATCAGAATCAACGTTGAGTTTAAGCAAGCGAATGAGCCAATTGGAGTAAAGTGCCATGCAGATTTAAATTTTTCCCACTTGTGACGAATGCAGCTATGGATATTTTTTTGCATGCTAGCATGTTAACATTCGTGTCAGTCAGCTGTTGGCTCTCACGCTGGCCAATAGAATCTTCCTGCCTATTCATGGTAGTCAGCTATAGGCTCTCACTCTGGCCAGTACAAAATGGCCGCAAACTACATGAAAACTGCCGTAGAAGCTTGAAAAAATCGATTATTTCCACTATCGAAGGGAGTTGGGAAATCCAAAGTCGGTTTTGTCCTTCCCGCTAACTTGGAGCATGTGCATGTAAATTTTAGTGCAAATCCGTCGAAAATTGCGGCCGTCCATTCGTTACACACACACACAAAACACACACACATCCTGCCTTATATATATATATATATATATATATATATATATATATATATATATATATATATATATATATATATATATATATATATATATATATAATGGGGGAAACAAATATTTCCAGTCTCAGTCAGTCCTTGAGGTGATATGGCCCAGTGGATAAAGGCGTTGGTTAGATCCAGTGACTGGACACATAGAGTTGTGAGTTCAATACTAGGCTACAGCAGTTTGAAAGGCAAATAACTGAGGCAGCCAGAAGAGGGATGACACGTGAAACTAGAAGAATCTAACCAGAAATAAAGGGTTCGGTTCGAAATTCCAATCAGCTGAAGAAGCCCGTAGCGTACAACGGTCGAAACGTTGTGAATATGGCAATGAAGATGAGGATAACAGTTAAAATAATGTAAATAATCATAATACACCATCTCAGAGATATAGACAGATCTAAATTCTTTTTATTTTGGAGGGAATTAAAATTTGGGGGAGGGTGAAATCATAGAAATGGTTCGAGAACATTCATTGTGCGGCTTAGCACAATTTTCTTTTGCTTGATGTTCTGTCTACCTATCTATCTATCTATATATCTATCTATCTATCTCAGTATATTCATATCTATCTATCTATCTATCTATCTATCTATCTATCTATCTATCTATCTATCTATCTCAGTCTGTTCATATCTATCTATCTATCTATCTATCTATCTATCTATCTATCTCAGTCTATTCATTATCTATCTATCTATCTATCTATCTATCTATCTATCTATCTATCTATCAAGTCCTGATATGTATCTAGTCCTGACATCTATCTATCTATCTATCTATCTATCTATCTATCTATCTATCTATCTCAGTATATTCATATCTATCTATCTATCTATCTATCTATCTATCTATCTATCTATCTATCTATCTCAGTCTATTCATTATCTATCTATCTATCAAGTCCTGATATGTATCTAGTCCTGACATCTATCTATCTATCTATCTATCTATCTATCTATCTATCTATCTATCTATTCACGGACATTTGGTTATTCCCTTCTCGCTGAGTTTGTCTGTTGGGTATATTATATACGTATTCACCAACTCCGCTTATTATGACATCTTGGATTAGCGAAGGCGGGAACAAAATGTCCATTTCACTGTATCTCAAATGCCGATCGCTTGGTGAATGCGTGAGTGTCGCACAGGAAACTGACAGTCGTAGTCAGTCAGACGTTGACAAGGAAATTAGGATTTATATAATTTGCTCTGCTATGAGGTATTGAGCACTCTTCTTTTCTAGTGTCTTTTCAAATCTGCTTCTTTTTAGAAACGCTTTTTTTTGTTTTGTTTTGTCTATCTATCTATCTATCTATCTATCTATCTATCTATCTATCTATCTATCAAGTCCTGATATCTATCTAGTCCTGACATCTCTCTCTCTCTTTCTTTATCTATCTATCTATCTATCTATCTATCTATCTATCTATCTATCTATCTATCTAAGTGTACTCATTATCTATCTTTTTCTCTTTTTTTATTCATTTCACCCCAAGCAATGCGGGAATACCATTAGTACACAGGGGGGGGGGATACAGAGAGTGAAAGCGTGAGAAAAAGACTCGGTATAAGGGGGGGATTGAAGAAAGGATAAAAGATGAACGGGATTCATGACGACAGAAGATGGCAATTGACATTGCATTTAAATTTAAGAACATTGTAGTTATCTGGGAAGTCAGTAAACGGAAGGCAGTTCCACATGCGGTAAGTGCGAGAAAAGAAACTGTTGGAGTAGAAGTGGCGGTTACATTTAACTGTTTCAACAGTAAAATGGTGGAAGGTAGACGCCAATCTAGTAGCACGCTTAAATTCATGGAGTCGAGGCACCAGGGGGAAAAAAAGGCTCGTCAGAACAGTTGCCATGAGAATATTTGTAGAAAAGACAAAGGGAAACAATATAACGTCTGTGAGAAAGTGACTGAAGTCGAGATGCGATGTCAGTTTCGATGAAATTGCAGATCGTTCTTTGTATTTTTTCAAGAATCTCGAGATGAATAGCAGGAACACCAGACCAGATATGGCAGCAAGAAGGCGCAATGTGTTGCTTTCCAGGAGTTCAGTACCCTTTTCTGTCTATTGTTCTATTGCCTGTCTTACCCTATTTTATAACCTGATGACAGACAGAAAAAAATTCTCTATGGTGGTTAAATAAAGCAGTTTTGTTTTGGAGGCATTAAAATTAACAAGCCATTTCTTGCCCCAGTTAACCACTGATTGGAGATGATTTTCAAGAGAAGCTGTCAGGTTTACTTTGTCAGCTCTGGCGGATTTTCTATTGAGAGAGGAGTAAATGTTAATATCATCTACATAAATACCTATATATATTATTACATGGAAAAAGAAACAGGAACATTCTAGCTTCTTCTTTTTTTACGTACTTCGTCCCTTTAGTAGGTTGCAGTTCATATGTGTAGAAAAGACAGAGGAAAGCCACGACACGACGGTGAGAAAATGACTAAAATCGATATGTTAGGTCAGGATCGATTGCATTACAGCTCCTTCTTTTTGGATTTTATCAAGAACCTCGAGATGAATAAAAAGAGCACCAGACCAGATATGGCAGCAGTATTCAATGCACGGATGAATGGTAGAATTGTAAATGTGTAAGATGAACTTTGATGAGAAAAACCTTTTGGCACAACACAGTGACCCAACATTCCATGCAATAGATGCAGCTATTGATTTAATGTAGTTTTTTTCCATTTCAAGTCAATTGGTGTTGTAGAGTAGTTTCACAGTGGAGGCTTGTATTTCACTAAGTCCATCCTAAAATAGGTTCGACGTACAAAACGTTAGGAACTTGATATAATAGGGAATGACGCAGAGATCTCGTTGTGGTGGCTGGTACTTTTAGGTACATCGACTGAATGACTGACTGATCGACTCCCTGAGCGACTGGCGACTGCTCCCACTCCTATTTATTATAGGTGGGAAAGTCTATTAACTATAAAATAGGTGTGTTCCAGTATAACAATTGGAAACGTGAGGCCAAGAAGGCACAATGAGACGCTCTCCAGGAATCGATCAGCCATGCTGATGGCGGGCAGGGAAGATTCTCTGTGGTGGTTAAATAAGAGCAGTTTCGTTTTGGAGGCATTCAAATTTACAAGTCATTTTCTGCTTCATTTAACAACTGACTGGAGTTCATTTTCAAGAGCAGCGGTCAGGTTAACTTTGTCAGCTCTTGCGGATTTGCTATTGAGACAGAAATAAATGGTAGTGTCATCTGCATAAATGGCTACTTTGGAATTGAGGAAATTTATGAAGATCAGAAACAGCGTAGGACCCAGGATAGAGCCTTTGGCGGGGTGACACAAGCGTTCGTGTGAAAGGTTCTGAAAACGAGCCTATTCAAAAAGACCTTCATTTCACAATAAATCAAACTATCGTCCTGTAATACCGTAGCTCGTTGAAAGCATACGTAGAGGATCAGCATGCCAAATGATGTCAACCGCCTTCGAGATATTTAGAGCTACATTCTGAGCTTCGCCGTTATCAGAAAGAGCTTGATATATATATAGAGTGTTGGTCGTAAACACGTCAGTAGTAGGCAGAGTAAAAAGAAACAGAACATTTTTTGGCTAAGTGCAGGTCATGAGAGGTAAGATGCTTAACAACTTCAGCATTGAGTAAAGTCTCGAATAATTTATGGGGGAAATATATATACAAAGACATATTTAAAAGCAAACAAACAATCAAATCATTGATAGGAGTTATTGGATAAAATCACCAATACATCCAGTAATGACGTAGAATTGGAGCTTACATAGAAGACCAGCATGTCGAACCCTGTCCCAGGTCTTCGATATATCTAGAAGACCGGCGTTTCGAACCCTGTCCCAGGCCTTCGATATATCTAGAAGACCAGCGTGTGAAACCCTGTCCCAGGCCTTCAATATATATAGAAGACCAGTCTGTCAAACTCTGTCCCAGGCCTCCGATATATCTAGAAGACCAGCGTGTGAAACCATGTCCACGGCGTTCGATATATATAGAAGATCAGCGTGTCGAACACCGTCCCTGGCCTTCGATATATCTAGAAGATCAGCGAGTCGAACCCTGTCTCAGGCCATCGATATATCTAAGAGGAGCGTGTCAAACCCTGTCCCAGGCCTTCGATATATCTAGAAGACCAGTGTCTCAAACCTTGTCCCAGGCCTTCAATATATATAGAAGACCAGTGTGTCAAACCCTGTCCCAGGCCTTCGACATATCTAGAAGACCAGCGTGTTAAACCATGTCCACGGCGTTCGATATATATAGAAGATCAGCGTGTCGAACACCGTCTCTGGCCTTCGATATATCTAGAAGACCAGCGTGTCGAACCCTGTCTCAGGCCTTCGATATATCGAGAAGATCAGCGTGTCAAACCCTGTCACAGGCCTTTGATACATCTAGAAGACCAGCATGTCAAACACTGTCCCAGGCCTTCGACATATCTAGAAGACCAGCGTATGAAACCATGTCCACGGCGTTCGATATATATAGAAGATCAGCGTGTCGAACACCGTCTCTGGCCTTCGATATATGTAGAAGACCAGAGTGTCGAACCCTGTCTCAGGCCTTCGATATATCGAGAAGATCAGCGTGTCAAACCCTGTCACAGGCCTTTGATACATCTAGAAGACCAGCATGTCAAACACTGTCCCAGGCCTTCGACATATCTAGAAGACCAGCGTGTGAAACCATGTCCACGGCGTTCGATATATATAGAAGACCAGCGTGTGAAACCATGTCCACGGCGTTCGATATATATAGAAGATCAGCGTGTCGAACACCGTCTCTGGCCTTCGATATATCTAGAAGACCAGCGTGTCGAACCCTGTCTCAGGCCTTTGATATATCGAGAAGATCAGCGTGTCAAACCCTGTCACAGGCCTTTGATACATCTAGAAGACCAGCATGTCAAACACTGTCCCAGGCCTTCGACATATCTAGAAGACCAGCATGTCAAACACTGTCCCAGGCCTTCGACATATCTAGAAGACCAGCGTGTGAAACCATGTCCACGGCGTTCGATATATAGAAGATCAGCGTGTCGAACACCGTCTCTGGCCTTCGATATATGTAGAAGACCAGCGTGTCGAACCCTGTCTCAGGCCTTCGATATATCGAGAAGATCAGCGTGTCAAACCCTGTCACAGGCCTTTGATACATCTAGAAGACCAGCATGTCAAACACTGTCCCAGGCCTTCGACATATCTAGAAGACCAGCGTGTGAAACCATGTCCACGGCGTTCGATATATATAGAAGATCAGCGTGTCGAACACCGTCTCTGGCCTTCGATATATGTAGTAGACCAGCGTGTCGAACCCTGTCTCAGGCCTTCGATATATCGAGAAGATCAGCGTGTCAAACCCTGTCACAGGCCTTGATACATCTAGAAGACCAGCATGTCAAACACTGTCCCAGGCCTTCGACATATCTAGAAGACCAGCGTGTGAAACCATGTCCACGGCGTTCGATATATATAGAAGACCAGCGTGTGAAACCATGTCCACGGCGTTCGATATATATAGAAGATCAGCGTGTCGAACACCGTCTCTGGCCTTCGATATATCTAGAAGACCAGCGTGTCGAACCCTGTCTCAGGCCTTCGATATATCGAGAAGATCAGCGTGTCAAACCCTGTCACAGGCCTTTGATACATCTAGAAGACCAGCATGTCAAACACTGTCCCAGGCCTTCGACATATCTAGAAGACCAGCGTGTGAAACCATGTCCACGGCGTTCGATATATATAGAAGATCAGCGTGTCGAACACCGTCTCTGGCCTTCGATATATCTAGAAGACCAGCGTGTCGAACCCTGTCTCAGGCCTTCGATATATCGAGAAGATCAGCGTGTCAAACCCTGTCACAGGCCTTTGATACATCTAGAAGACCAGCATGTCAAACACTGTCCCAGGCCTTCGACATATCTAGAAGACCAGCGTGTGAAACCATGTCCACGGCGTTCGATATATATAGAAGATCAGCGTGTCGAACACCGTCTCTGGCCTTCGATATATGTAGAAGACCAGCGTGTCGAACCCTGTCTCAGGCCTTCGATATATCGAGAAGATCAGCGTGTCAAACCCTGTCACAGGCCTTTGATACATCTAGAAGACCAGCATGTCAAACACTGTCCCAGGCCTTCGACATATCTAGAAGACCAGCGTGTGAAACCATGTCCACGGCGTTCGATATATATAGAAGATCAGCGTGTCGAACACCGTCTCTGGCCTTCGATATATGTAGAAGACCAGCGTGTCGAACCCTGTCTCAGGCCTTCGATATATCGAGAAGATCAGCGTGTCAAACCCCTGTCACAGGCCTTTGATACATCTAGAAGACCAGCATGTCAAACACTGTCCCAGGCCTTCGACATATCTAGAAGACCAGCGTGTGAAACCATGTCCACGGCGTTCGATATATAGAAGACCAGCGTGTGAAACCATGTCCACGGCGTTCGATATATATAGAAGATCAGCGTGTCGAACACCGTCTCTGGCCTTCGATATATCTAGAAGACCAGCGTGTCGAACCCTGTCTCAGGCCTTCGATATATCGAGAAGATCAGCGTGTCAAACCCTGTCACAGGCCTTTGATACATCTAGAAGACCAGCATGTCAAACACTGTCCCAGGCCTTCGACATATCTAGAAGACCAGCGTGTGAAACCATGTCCACGGCGTTCGATATATATAGAAGATCAGCGTGTCGAACACCGTCTCTGGCCTTCGATATATCTAGAAGATCAGCGTGTCAAACCCTGTCCCAGTCCTTCGATACATCTAGAAGACCAGCATGTCAAACACTGTCCCAGGCCTCCGATATATCTAGAAGACCAGCGTGTTAAACCATGTCCACGGCGTTCGATATATATAGAAGATCAGCGTGTCAAACCCTGTCCCAGGCTTTCGATATATCTAGAAGACCAGTGTGTCAATCCTTGTTCCAGGCCTTCGATATATATAGAAGACCAGTGTGTCAAACCCTGTCCCAGGCCTCCGATATATCTAGAAGGCCAGCGTGTGAAACCATGTCCACGGCGTTCGATATATATAGAAGACCAGCGTGTCGAACCCTGTCTCAGGCCTTCGATATATCAAGAAGACCAGCGTATCGAATCTTGTGCCAGGCCTTCTATATATCTAGAAGACCAGCATGTTGAAGCCTGTCCCAGGCCTTCGATACATCTAGAAGACCAGCGTGTCAAACCCTGTCCCTGGCCTTCGATATATCGAGAAGATCAGCGTGTCGAACCCTGTCCCAGTCCTTCGATATATCTAGAAGACCAGCATGTCAAACACTGTCCCAGGCCTTCGATATATCTAGAAGATCAGCGTGTCAAACCCTGTCCCAGTCCTTCGATATATCTAGAAGACCAGCATGTCAAACCCTGTCCCAAGCCTTCGATATATCTAGAAGACCAGCGTGTGAAACCCTGTCCCAGACCTTCGATATATCTAGAAGGCCAGCTTGAGAGGTAATATGCTTAACCACTTCAGCTTTGATTAAAGCCTTGAAGACTTTGCCGAAAACTGGTAGGAGATTAATAGGATGATAGAGGAACCAGAAAGGTCTCCAGAGTTCTTAAAAACGGGGACTACAGAGGAGGACATCCAACAAACTGGAAAGTAAAATAACACTATCTCACTCTCTCTCTCGCTCTCCCTCTCTCTCTCTCTCTCTCTATCTATCTATCTATTGCCAGTCGTTATCTATCCGCCGTATCCTCGTGATCTTCCTTTTTCATTTCTCTTCTCTCTTTAATATAACACACCCTCTATATTGAGTGGCTCTTGGATCTTGTACTGTTTGAATATTATTAAAAAGAATATTTCTACTTCATCGTTTCTTCTTTTATAATTGATATTAAACTTCATGTTTTTCATTTAATTCTAAACTCCACCTGAATTCTTTATTCATGCATTTTACTACCATACGATAATTATTATCATCATGAGTTCTCTCAGATATTAAAATACATTCGAAATATACTCACATATGAATAACTTGTGTCTGTATGTTTACATCTGGAACCCACTGAAAAACGGCTCGTTCGTTTCTACGCTTTTCGTCACAGACATGAGCACACAGGCTTATTACTCTAAAACGCATGCGCACAAATGTATATTAATGGTCGCCAGGCTGTTACCATGTTTAATAAGGGTGACATTTTATCTTTTAATCTGTATCGTTGACATTCTAAACAAACTACTTTCTAAAATATGTCGTAGTCTTTCCCTCTCACGCCCCATGAAATTATTGAAATAAGCAAGCAGTGAATTCTAAGGATTATTTCTTTTTAAATTGCGCATTTTGTCACGGATTTCGCAGACAACCGAAAGGAGAGAAGCGGGGTGACAGCCTTACGACAGCTGCTGATAATTCGAATAATTTTATGCTCAGGTTTTTCTTAATGGACTGTGTTCTTTTTGTTCTGCAGTGTAATTGTCCTCATTCTTGATGATAGGAGTTTGTGATGAGGAATATTTATGACAGTGTGACGTGGCGCTACGTTTATCAACACGGGAAACGGAATCAGTGAACCTGGTTCGAATCTCAGATGAAACTGATAGTGTTCACTTAGCAGAAGCAACCTTGGGATAGGAACGAAGCCACTTCAGCCTGTACTCTGTCAAGACATGACTATATATATATATATATATATATATATATATATATATATATATATATATATATATATATATATATATATATATATATATATATATATATATATAGTAAAATAAAACTGTTTTATACAGATCTATCTAGATCTACACATTATCTATCTATCGATGTCTACTCACTATCTGTCAATCTTTCTGTGGCTACTCACTATATGTCTGTCTGTCTATCTATCTATCTATCTATCTAGCTATGTCTAATCATTATTTATGTATCTATCTATGTATCTATATATCTGTCTATATCTACTCATTACCTAAATCTACTCATTATCTATCTATCTATCTATATTTGCTCATATCGATCTATCTATCTATCTATCTATGTCTACTCACTATCTGTCAATCTTTCTGTGGCTACTCACTATCTATCTATCTCTCTATCTCTCTCTCTCTATCTATTTATCTATCTATGTCTAATCATTATCTATGTATCTATACATTTCTATATATCTATATCTACTCATTATCTAAGTCTACTCATTATCTATCTATCTATATTTGCTCATATCTATCTATCTATCTATCTATCTATCTATCTATCTATGTCTACTCACTATCTGTCAATCTTTCTGTGGCTACTCACTATCTATCTATCTATCTATCTATCTATCTATTTATCTATCTATCTGTATCTATCTATTTATCTATCTATGTCTAATCATTATCTATGTATCTATACATTTCTATATATCTATATCTACTCATTATCTAAGTCTACTCATTATCTATCTATCTATCTATCTATCTATCTATCTATCTATTATGTCTGCTTATATCTATCTATCTATCTATCTATCTATCTATCTATCTATCTATCTATCTATCTATCTATTGCCAGTTGTTATCTATCCGCCGTATCCTCGTAATCTTCCCTATTTCCTTTCTTGTCTCATTTTGTATAACTTATCTGGGAAAGCTTTATATTAAAAAGTGCTCAATACAGAGTAAAAAATATCGAATTTCAGAACTATTTAATATTCAAAATATTATAAACAATAACCTCTCGTTTCGACCAATAAACTTTTGTTCAGGCAGTGAAAGTTTGATTGTTTTATTGTTTCATTATTTATACCCTTATGTTATTCACTGCCTGAAGAAACCTTTTTATTAGTGGAAACCGCGGTAGCAGAAGACGATGCTGTTTATAATATTTTAAATATGATATATATATATATATATATATATATATATATATATATATATATATATATATATGAAGAATAAAAAATATTAGAAAATTTAAATTTTCAGACACACTGAGTTGCATATTAGTATTTTTTGTTAATTATTATTTCAATTAGGTTTCTCGACTAGTTTCGGCCAGCATGGTCATCATCAGGAGAAAAAAAATCCCTGGTTGTTAATATTGGTGAACTACAGGAGTGAATGACTCTTTCTGAAGAAAGTGAATTTTATCTGTAGTATTCATTTGTTTTTTCTGTTGTTAATTTTGGTCAGTCCTTGTGTTTGTGAAACGGACTCTTTGAAATTGTTTTTAAGAAAGAGGATGGGAGATTCCTAACTTTAAGAATTACCTTCTTGGTCATTTTGGCAGTTTTATTTGTTGCTGGGAATGGAGTGTGTGTATGCTAAGTGTATGTTATTATTTAATTCTTTGGGAGTGTGTTTGATATGGATATGTGTATATATTAGTATGAGTGTGTGTATAGGTGTGAGACCTCAATACCTTTGCAAGCATGTCTGTCTTGTGTGGGTGAGAAATGTGGGTAGGACTTGATTTATGGGGTTATATACATACATACATATATATATATATATATATATATATATATATATATATATATATATATATATATCACATTTTTCCATTTGGTTGGAGTGAGGAAGTACAAAAACTGTCCATACAAGTCCATTTGCACAAGAGCTTTCGGCCACTTGTTTAGCCATTTTCAAGGGGATTGTTTTGGGTGTTGTTAGTTTTTTTTTCATGTTTTGGCTATGTGAATGCATTGTTTGTGAATTATAGTAGCAGCGATTCTGAGCCCTCGTTTGTTGGGTATATCTGGAATTCGAGTGGGCAACTTTCTATCTTTAAAATACTTTTAACATTCTGTCACTATTGTTAAACAAGGTAAGATTGATAGGGATTGATAGTGGTGTTTGATGTACAAGGCCTCTCTTATAACGACGTGTTTTCTGAAATATGATTTAAAATGACTTTAGTTTTATCGACTAATATCTTTCTTTAGGGCTCTTGTAGATTAGGGCTTGATAAATGTTTTTATCGAGCTCTGTCCCGATAAGTGACATATGAGACATATATTGTCATTTGTTCAATATAGTTAATTGACTTATGACAAGAAACACAGTCTTTTACTGGACAGTGAAATTGGTACACTATATCGGTCATCATGGGATTAGATTTGATGGGTTTATTTTGATTATTAACTAATATATATATAATTTTGGTTTGAGCTACAATCCATCTTTTATACAAGTTTCATTAAATACAACTGAGAAAGTACTGTGATTAAGCTTTTTATTCAATTTTTCTTTCGTTCATATAAGTGTCTATGTTGACATAACGTGCGTGAAAACTGTCAAAATGTTCTATATTTCTGAGAGATTTCGGCTATTCCGTTAGCCATTATCAAGAATATTGATTTTTTTGTAATTTTCACTGAATATGTAGATTTATATATGTGTATCTATAGTGATGGGAATGTTATTTATTTTACAGACGTGGTCAGGATGTTGTGTGTGTATTGATAGTTGATATTAGTGAGTGTTGTGCCGATCATGGGCTATTATGATAATGGCTAATAGAATAGCCGAAAGCGCTTATATATATATATATATATATATATATATCCGAGGTTGGTATAGGTTGGTATAGATAGTATAGATGCTATTTTTTACAATCAACACGATCACTTGACAAGACGTCAGAAGTGTTGAAACAAAATGTCTATTTTTGTAGTGATGTTATAACATACTGGTGTTATAATTTTTAAATAAAAATATATATATATATATATATATATATATATATATATATATATATATATATATATATATATATATATATATATATATATATATATATATATATATATATATATATATATATATATATATGTACCTCCACTAATTCGGTACACGTAAGTTTTAAAAGGAATTCGTTAAGTTTCTCATTTTAGCTTTAATTGAAAGCTAGGGGATATAAAATTTACTATTTCGAGTAAGCAAAATGCTTTGTGGTGTATTTTAAACAGAAATTATATTGATCGGAATCGATTTTTATCAGTAAAATCGATCAAAGCGGCCATTTTTATACCTTTGTAAACAAAAGCTAATTCTCGGTTTTAAAAATTTTGCAAAAATAAAAAAATATATTTCTGCAACGTTACTTGAGAAAATTAGAAAATTTAAATTTAAATTAATCTGATTTGAAACAAATATTACTTACTTTTTTTTAAGGCAATTCATCCGAAGCAAGGCGGGAGTGCCACTAGCACGCAAGGTGTTACAGAGGATTGAGAACAAGAGTAAAGAGGCGTGGAAAGGATACAGAGAAGGACGGGGAACAAGCTCAAGGTGTCAGATGTCGATTGACATTACACTTGAATACTTGAAGATTATAGACATCGCATAAGCAAGTAAGAGGAAGGGAGTTTCACAGACGGGAAGCGCGAGAGAAGAAACTGTTTGAATTGAAAAGACGGTTACATTTAACCGTTTTGACAGTGACTAATTGGGACCGTGATGCCAGCCTTGTAGCTCGTTTAAAGTTATGTAGTCCGGGAACCAGCGAAAGTAGCTCGTCGGAACAGTTGCCGTGAAAATATTTGTAGAAGAGACAGAGGGAAGCCACGGCACGCCTGTGGGATAGCGATTGTAGACTAGATGCCAGATCAGGACCTATCATCTTGCATATTCGTTTCTGGATTTTGTCAAAGACCTCGAGACGTACAACAGTAGCACCAGACCATATATGACAGCAATATTCAATACAAGGATGGTTGATGTATAGATTTGAAGAATGGACTCAGACTTTCTGCCATGACGAAGAGAACCAACTTTCCTTGCGGTAGATGAAGCTATAGATTCAATGTAGCTGTTCCACTTCAGGTCAGTGATCAGCGTGAGACCAAGAAGGCGTAACGAGGCGCTCTCGTGGAGTTGGGCATCAGTCATTCTGATGGGAGACAGTAAAGGTTCTCTGTGGTGGGTAAAGGAGAGCAGTTTCGTTTTGGAGGCATTAAAGTTTACAAGTCACTTTCCTTCCCCAGTCAACCACAGATTGGAGGTCCTTTTCAAGACCAGGTTAGTTTTGTCAACGATACCAGATTTACTATTGAGGCAGGAGTGAATAGTATTGACGTGAGCGTAGATGCCTATTTGGGAACTGATGACATCGTGAAGGTCATTGATGAAGATCAGGAACAATGTAGGGCCCAAGATAGGGCCTTGGGGAACACCAGCGTTCATGATAAAGAAGCCGGAGGAGAACCCGTTTTGGACGACCTTCATTTCACGGTTTGACAGGAATGATTGCATTAATTCAAATAATCGTCCTGTAATACCGTATCCCCGAAGCTTACGAAGAAGGCCAGCATGTCAAACCCTATCAAAGGCTTTAGAGATATCTAGAGCCACGACTCGAGCTTCTGCCTTATTGTTGATTGCTTGATATACACATTCAGTTATGGCCGTTAGCACATCAGCGGTAGATCGGGCAAAGCGGAAACCATATTGCTTGTCGGAGAGCAGATTATGTGAAGTAAGGTGCTTAACCACATCGACGTTGATTAAAGCCTCCAAGACTTTACCGAAGAATGGTAGGAGACTGATAGGACGGTAGTTAGACGGGTCAGAAGGGTCACCAGTGTTCTCAACGACAGGGACAACAGATGAAGACATCCAACAGGCTGGAAAGCAAGAGTCGGTGAGGCAGTAGTTGTAAAGTTTAGAGAGGACAGGAGCCTATTCAGGACCGCATTTCTTCAGGACAATGGCCGGTATCCCGTCCCCATGACTAGCCTTGTGGGAGTCTAATTTAGAGATGATGTCCAATATCGTTGGGTTTATGTGCATCTCACCCAGTAGAGACTCAGTTCTAGTGAGAAAATCAGGTGTGGGTACACTAGATGAGTCTAGCGTTGAATTGGATGAGAATTTACGAGCAAAGCATTCAGCCGTACCAGCTGAGGAGGTCAGGACCTCAAATTAATTGAATAAAGTGGGTACTGTGGGTTTGCTGTTGTTCAGCATGCCTTTGCAGAGTTGCCAATAATCTTTAGAACCAAACTTGCCAGACACAATACGTTGATTCACTCTTTCGGCAAAGAGTAACTTCGCTTCACTGAGGACATGCTGGCACTCGATACGGGAAGTGACAGAGACGTCTATTGTAATCAGATATGTCTCTACGATAGAGACGGAAGTAGTGATTCCTGTGGGCAACAGCAGCTGAGCAAGCAGCTTAAAATCAAGGGGATGAATGCGATTTCACTTTATATTTTCTTGCAGGGATGAAAACCTCGATTCCACCTTTTACCCAAGATGAGACCTCAGATGCGCATTTTTTGGACGGGGAAGTTAAAAGCAGTATTCCAGGGGACATCGCGAAGGAAATCACGGAACGAATCCCAATCTGTTTGTTGATAATAGAAAGATGTTCTATTGGTAGGGGGTTCTTTACTTGAGGAAGAGTAGGAGATACTAACAGACACGATGGCATGATCAGAGTTGCCAAGAGGGCAGAGATGCGTGGCATGATAAGACTTGGGGATGGAGATAAAACAGGAATCAAAAAGGGAAGCCTTACCATCATGGTTACTGGGGAAACGCGTAGGAAAGTCAAACATTTTGTGAGAGATTGAGAATTGGAAAAGTTAAGAGT